AAAAAAAAAAAAAAAAAAAAAAAAAAAAAAAAAAAAAAAAAAAAAAAAAAAAAAAAAAAAAAAAAAAAAAAAAAAAAAAAAAAAAAAAAAAGGAATGACAAATGACATCATCCACAATCTCATTCATTCATTCATTCACTTCAGTTCATTTATTCATTCAATCACGATTTCATTCTGCAGTGCCGCCACCACCACCGTTTCAAACGCCCCCGATCCACTTGACATTCTTGCCCAGCTGGCAGTGGTATTCTTGGCGGGGGAGACAAGGTTGGCGGTGGTATGTTTTGAAACAAAGCATGTTTGGTTTGGTTTGGTTTGGCGTGTTTTGGAATCCGGGGGGAAGTTTGAGAATGGAGGTGTGGATGTGACGTGATGGCCTTTCTGGGGCTTTATTCGGGTTTCAGGTTAGCTGGGTTTGAGGGTATGGATGTGGTTGGTGGTTGGTGGTTGTTTGGTGAAGGGAGGTGAGGTTGAGGGTTATCTTGTGGTGAAGTGGTTGTGGGTAGGTTCTTTGTGTATATGTTGTGAGAATGGTTTATTGTATGTCTGTATGTATATATGTATATATGTATATATGTATATTGTTTTGGTGTTGTTATGTGTAGTTCCTTTGTTTCTTGTGATGTAATAGGTAGCGTGGATGGAATATATATTCGTTGTTTGAGGCTTGTATATAGATGTTTGTTCGTGTTAAATGAGTTATTTATATATATGGTAGTTTGTGTTTCTATATTGTGGAATGCTCATGACTGTAGAGAGTATATATGTGTGCTTCATTGCTGTCAATATTAGATTGAGACTAACTGTATACAATATGGACCGGGAGTTGATCAGGCGTATATGGCATTCTGCTTCATCGGGAAGGCGTCTGCATAGCTAGACGTTTCAATCGCTAGGATCTAACAGGCCATTTGAGTCTTGATTGATAGAGATTATACTACCAGTCACTGACTCAATTTCTATATATTTACTTGACATGGTCGATTAGGACCTGCGGAGTTAAGAATTTCATATCAATCACAATGGTCACTTTCATATCAAGAATACTGGCAAGACAAGTATGAGTGATTCATACTGCGGTTCTGCAGACAAGGACAGCTTTGGACAATGATACTCTTGATCACCTGCAATATCGATGTGTGTGCACGTGTAGGTGAGTCTGTGTACAAACCCATCCTTCCACGGTGAGAACCTCTGCAGCCAGTGGTTGTGTGTGATTGTCTTGCGATTAGATGATATTCCACTTCAGTTAATCTGCAACTCAGTAAACCCTCCATGGAGAATATAGCCCAGTGATGAATGAGCCTATGATATGTTACACAGACCGATACTAGAAAGTAACCTTCGCACCCACAGTGCAAGGCACCAGACTCCCAGGCATATGTTTCTCAATCGCAAACTTCGCCCTCCAACCAGAGCAATGCCCCGGCAGCAGGACAGCAGGGTCTAGTCTCTGAAGGTCTTTGACGGTGCTTTCCGTATCGGCTGCAGTGCTAGTAGCAAGATGAAAGCCCCCAACAACCGCATAAAGCGGCACAGAGCCATCGAGGCTGTCAACCGCATGTCGTGAGCAGTTGACGACACCGGCATGGCTGCAGCCTGTGAACAGGACGAGTCCTTTGTCTGGAAAAGGTTGCAAGTTAGAGACAACCCAGAGTAGAAGAGGACGGTTATTGATATCATACCCTTTAGATTGCACATGAGGAAACGCTCGTCGGAAATAAGCTCATCAGAAAACCAATCCTTTTCCTCGCTGTCATAGCGCATGCCGCCTTTGATACCGTTTTCGTACGCCGTCTGGCGCGGGATTTCACCAGAGATCAGGAAGAAGTTGTCGAGGACAGTGTGTGTCTCGTCATTCTTTTGGATGGCTCCCCCGGCTGCTTCGAGTTCCTCGAAGGTAGGGTCCGCCTGAAAGGAAACGATGTTCGGACCCAGGGCGAATCCGCGATAGTCGGGACGGTCAGGATGAAGATCGACTGACACTTTGTCTGTATGACCTTTGGCTATTTTGGCCTCAGATATCAATTCAATGGCTCGGACAAGGCCCCCTGGGCTCTGTTAGCAGAGTTATCGGATGGATAACCCACGAAGAGTTAGTCAAAGTAGAGCTGTGCATACCAGAATGGTCCCGATGCCAATGTGATAATTGAACCAGCTCGACAGAAGACAAATCCGGCCGTAACCGCTTGACATTCCTCTCCCATATCTCGCCTTCAGGGCCTGCATCGAATAGAACAGAGTGCTTTACATCGCCTTTCGTAGCTGTCTAGAGATAGTCAGTATACATTGTCGTCGGTTTCTCCGTCCGGAAAGGAACATACCACAAGGATGGACAGACCATGCGCCGAACAGCAAATGTCTTCCATTTGCAGTTCCTTTTTGGCTTCACCTCGGTCATGTAATTCATGTGTTGACTGTAGAGCAAGAGAGCCCATCAGACCCGATACCTGGACGGTGTCTGGGGCAGGTGGGGAGAGAGGATCGAGCTCATTGTCGATGATGACAAGGGCTTCGAGAGAATCGACTTCGACAAGGTCCAGCTCAGACATACTGGTGACGTATCAACATGGGTAGAAGATGTGAGGGTTTTGTCTTACTATGAGCGGAGAGATGGATAGTCAAAGCGGGGACCGAGGATAATTGTTCTTCCTTAGCCCTAAGATGACTACACTCAGCACAAGGTGATGAATGTCAGCTTTTTGTTTGATTGTCTACATAAAAGGCGGGAATGCTCTACTTGTAGGTATTGGAAACCTCAGATGGGATAGGTGCATTGTGTGGCTAGTTCTTTGACATGAGTTTGTGGTTATTGATGCTAGATGTAGTAGGACAACAGAGTAAGATGCATAATAAGGGATGCTAGACAATTGATGTAATCCTCCTTAGCAGTCGCGAATGCAGGGTATATAGCAGATGCATGACAAATAGCAGAGACATGATGCGTTTCTTTTCCATTTCCATCCAATTTCCAGACACTTTCCATTAAACTTGTGATATCACTTGCTCTTATTCTATACCCTGACAGACCCATCCCCAGTCAGGGGCCCAGTGACGGTAGCCAACCCCTGCCGAGGCTCAGGCTGGCCCCTATGAAAAGCCTGTTCCTAAGTCGGAACATTGCTGGCCTCCACCTGCATAGGGTGGCTCACAGGTACATATAGCCACCAGCCATATAGGGCTCCATATAGGAACCCATATAGGAACCCCAGGTGGGTTCCGCCGAGAGCCCCTGCTGATACGGATACCACTGTGGTGGCATCTGTGGGTAGTATGTCTGGGGGTAGTATGTTTGGGTGTAGGACGCCGGGGGGTAGGGCGTCGGGAACACATTGGCAGACGGCATTGGCATTGGCTGCGGCCCAGCCTCGACCCGGTTCCCTAGATAACACATTAATACATCGAAGCAAGGCGTTCTTGTATAAATAAGTGCACTTACTCTCCCCGGTTGCCCTCTCAACCCTCAGAACGCGGCTATGCAGCCGACATTGTCTGTCCAGGCTGAGCGCCCTTTCAGCATCTTCGGGACGCTGCAGATCGTTAGTCTCATGCTGCAGAGAGCCTAAGAAGTACACAGTAAATGACTTACTTCGTATTGGACGAACGCCCCAGGCAGCCTCTGGCCTGCTTTGGCTGTGCTGTACAGCCCGACATAGCAGTTTCCGAACTGCCTGAATGCTCCATGCAAATCCTGCATGAGCTGTTGCTGCCCGACACTGATCGGAAGACTAAGAGCAGGTTAGCTTTCTATCAACACCGACGAGCCAGAGTGATACATACTTTCCGACGAAGAGCCGGGCAGCCACACCGTGACGCCGTTGGACGTCTTTGAATGTGACCTGAGGTTCGTTCTCAGGTTGAGGGTAAAACTGATTCCCTTGATCGTTATGGTGGGAATCGGAAGAAGGGGTAGACTGAGGGTGGATGCTCGCTTGGTTCTGCATCCTGAAAAATGTCTTGTACTGGCTTGTTATGATATAGAATATGTGTATGATACGGTATAGAAGATATGTATGATAATGAAAAGTAGATTTGTGCTGTTGTGGTGATAGATGGGTGTGTGGGTATGTCTGAGGGGGGATGGAAGGAGCGAAGAGAAAAGCCAGGCGTCCGGCTTACGAATATGGAAGCAACGCTCACAGTTCGCTCAGAATGTGATAATCGTTTTCCTTTCTTTGTTCCTGAGTTTTCTGGTGTATCTGTTAAGGTTCTTACGAAAACGCAGAAACGTAAACAAGTTTACGGTCGAGCCCTAGGGAGAGGCCTGCTACCATGGCTAATCATTGGAGATCTAAGGCGAAAGAGAGCCAAGCAGATACTATAGAGGAAGTGACTATGCATCTGTTAGGTATGGTGAATTGGTTTATGAGAATTGCTGGTCCAAGCGACCTTAACGGCGACTTTCATAGCCATGACGGTATTCCAATAACTCTCTGCAGGACTACATACCACCTACTGATCCTTAATACGGAACTCGATGGAAACTACAGAAGGCTCAACATTTGAGATAGTTTGGTAATGTTTCAGGCAGACCTTGGAGGGATATCACCTCATTGAGCACCTGATCTCGCTAAACGAGGGACCAACGGCGGTATACTTCAGCTCCAAGTACTGAGGCAATCACCTAATTCAAGCAAGAATAGCTAGTAATCCCATGTGAATGGACGCAAGTGATATCACGGTCGACTAATTCCCAAACTGACTGCAATCGATTCAGACATCTACATTGAACTAGGAAAGGTTTCGTCTCCGTGCAGTCATGGAATCCCCGGACATTAAAGAAAGTGAAGCTAGGACTTGTTCTTCTCGTACTGCTGACCAAAAGACAAGAACAGCAACAGGCAGATCCATTAGAGTCGATACCTTTCATAGACATATATGTGGCCAAGTACTAGATCGAGTTGTGTTCATTGCATGTGCTATCCCCTCCGCTATTCTTAGCTTTCTAGATGCAGAATGACATCCTTCGAGTCAACCAGCTAGAAGTAGAATACAATACCTTTCGTATTCATTACTGGAAGCCTACCGGCTGTGCCTGTTTTCAATAACTGTTCACTGTTATCTTATGCGGACGTTATCAGCAACGGTTATTGGTGATGAAACCACGAGGACAATCTTTTACATTAGAGATGAGTCCGCCTGATGGCTCACTGTAACTCTATTCAGTCAGAACATTATTACTAGTAATGAAGAGGTCGTTGATAAATTGCATGAATGTCGTTCTCCAGTCGTATAGATCAATTTCCCGATCGGGATGATTTAGGGCTGAGTTTGGCGGCGTCTACTCTATGATCCTCTCACGCCGTTGAACGATAGCTAGGCGAAGATATGCTGATCTACAGGCACCTGCAGCTTCCTACATAGCATATAATTGAGATATCGATATATAGGTCATTTTATTCAGCTTCTGCCTTTTGTGGTAGTATACTATCTAGATCCCCAACTAGTACCTACCATTATTTTGTGTAATCTGTAAATAAAGTTGACTACGATCTGTGGCCACCCCGCGGGTCTCCCAACAAACTGCACAGGATACAATGAGCAAATCGGAGAAATATGCAATGTAAGGGTAAAGATGATGCGATCTCTGACGCCTCATACTCTGGTACAGTACATACAAGTCGTACTGGTAACTATACATAAATTCCCTGAAGGCGGTGAGCGGGGGTTATGTTATCAATCAGTTCTCACGCGACGTCATTTCGATCAACCCCGAATTCCGAGTTTCTTCTCGCCGACCGTTTTATGTAGACTTGGAACTACCAAATCTCTCCTCTACAACAGCCCCAACAATTGCACCATGTTTCCCACAGCAAGGTGCTTCGCCGCGAAGCCCGCGGGATTCTTCAAGCGCAGCGCAGACGAACTCGGCCGCCTGTCAAAAATCGGTACTTAGCTCCCCCCATTTCCTACGGTCGGACCGCCGATGAATGCTCTTGAGATCTTATCTTACCTACTAACCTAATACCTTGGTTCTCCACAGCCTGGAACTCGGAAGCTCTACATACCCCGACGAAGCCCTACGTCCTGCTCGATTTCGAAGATGATTCCGCCGTCGCCGGCTGCAAGACCATGGCCGACCGCGCCGTTGGCGGGTTCAGCACAGCCAGCCTAGACTACGTCCCTGCAGACCCCGCGACACAATCGCCCGCCCACGCCCGATTCCACGGAAGTATCTCGACGAAGCTACCCAATAACTGGCGCGTAGAGCGGACGGGTACGCTACCCCGGATCCCAACCCTGTCCGGTAACAAGGAATTGACAAACAGAGCGATGCTAAAACAGGATACGCGGCCTTCCGCAACAAAGACCGGGGCCTCTGGCTCTTCGGACGCCTTTACTGGGATATGGATCCCTACTCGTACCTCGCCTTGCGCGTGAAATCGGACGGACGCCGCTACACCGTGAACATCCAGACAGATTCGATCGTCGAGACGGATATCCACCAGCACCGACTGTATACTCGGCATCATAGGGTTCAGGAGGCTTCGGATGAGGACCTCTCGTCGGCGGAGGAGCAGTACCCAAGTGATGTACCGCCTTCTCTGTCTGATGTCCCGCCCGAGTCGACTGTCATGTCGACGTCGACCACTACGGAGACGGCCGGGACGACAGGTTGGGAGACGATCTTGTTACCGCTTAACGCGTTCGTGCGGACGAACCATGGATTGGTGGTTGAGCCGCAGACGAATATCCTGCGGCAGCGGGTGAAGAGTATCGGCATTGGACTTACGGACCGGGTCGAGGGTCCGTATGATCTGCGGATCCATAAGATCTGGGCTACGAATGGGATGAGCGAGGCGGAGATTGAGGAGGAGAGACGTATCTGTGGTGTGGATGCCTTGCCTGTGGACGAGGGTGTCCGGACTGGCTGGACGAAGGAGTCTGCGCCGCAGCAGCATACGAGTCAACCGGAGGCGCCGAAAGCGAAGAAGGGATTGAAGGCGTTGCGTTCCGAGTGGGATCAATAAATGGATACCAGATTCAATTTGTATAGTAATTTCTTATTTTTAGGTCTCTATACCAGTTTTCAACTTGACCAGTGACATGGGTAAGGATTTCCAGACAGGTTTACACTTGAGCGTTATTTATTCTACGTTTTTCATTTTGACATAAACCGTTTCAGCCCCTACTTACCCACACCTCCCGGACTAGACTATCAGTTACCACCAGTGATCCGCTCCCATGCCTCACGGTACTTCGCGCTAGTCTTCTGTGCAATCTCGTCGGTCATGCGTACACCCGGCTTGCCCTTCAGTCCCTGACTCGTCAACCAGTCACGCAAGAACTGCTTATCGAAGCTCTGCTGTCCACGACCAATCTCGTAGGAGTCCTTAGGCCAGAAACGCGACGAATCAGGAGTGAGGACCTCATCGGCCAGCACAACCTCATCGGTCTCAGGATCCAGACCGAACTCGAACTTCGTGTCAGCGATGATCACGCCGCGAGTAAGGGCGTACTCGTGAGCGACCTTGTACAGCTGAATCGCGAGAGAGGCGATCTTAGAGGCATAGGGTTCACCGACAATAGCAACGGCTATGGCATCAACTGATTAGCAAAATGACCCATGGCCGCGAAAAATAATAATAATAATAATAATAATAAAACCAATAGTGCTCCGAAATCGGAACCCGGAGATGTAGACATACCCTGATCCGGATGGATGTTCTCGTCATGCTCGCCCTGCTCCGCCTTGGTGCTGGGGGTGTAGATAGGACCACCGGGGAATGCCTCGCTCTCTCGCAGACCCTCGGCGACCTTGATGCCGTGCACCGTGCCCGTTTTCTTGTACTCGTTCCAGGCGGACCCGGTGATGTAACCGCGCACGATGGCCTCAATGGGGAGGATCTTCAGCTTGCGCACCTGCATGCTTCTGTTCTGGAGGACAGGACGCAGCGACTCGGGGATTTGAGGCGGGAGGTCGAGGGTGAGGAAGTGGGTGCGGAGAGAGGGGATGGCATCGGAGAGGATCTTGAACCAGGCTTTCGTGCACAGGGTCAGGAGGATGCCTTTTTCGGGGATTCCCTGTCATTGGTGTGTTAGTGGTACCTTGGAAACTGAGGGAAGTAAGAGATAGAGAGAGATAGAAGTGAACAGGGAGAGGGGAGGTACATTCTCCATGATCACATCGTACGCGGAGATGCGGTCCGTCGCGACGAAGAGGAGGGTCTTCTCGTCGACATCGTACAGGTCGCGAACCTTTCCTCGGGCGATAAGAGGGAGGACACCCTGAAGGTCGGTATTCGTCAGAGCTTCAGACATGGTGGGATTCTGTAGAATTGGGGGTATGAAGGGGGGAAGTGTCTAGAGATGAGGTCGAGTCATAAAAGTTGGGGACGATAATCGATAAGCGGATCACTTTTTTTGTGGCGGGGTTTCAGGCCTGAGGCAGTCAACCCCGCCATATCAGAGAAGTCGACCATTTATAGAAGCTGGTCCATAATCAAGCTAATGTAAGTGGGAAGTGATTATGATCTATTTATGGATTATGCTTAAAGTAAAGTTGTACATTGCTCTCCAATGTGGCTGATTGATATCTGGTTCCCAGCTCACGCCGCCTTGGTTGATGGAGACAGTTAAAGATGCTAGTCCGCAAACAGAGCCTGGCGAGCTCGAATGAACTCTTGTCTCTCCTCAGCCCATTCTGGTTTCACAGAAGACAGTGGATAAGGCTGCTCGGCACCGGGGAGGAGCATATCAGGATCGATTGTGCGAATCTTGGTGCCACGAGGTAGACGTAGGTAATCTTCCGCATGCGGCCCTGCTTCGATGTGTTCCATCGTCTCCAATCCTTTAGCGTCAACTTTACTTTTGAGGAGCTCCCAGAATTCGCGATCCGATAGACTCCATAGAACCTCTTCCTTCAACAATCCTCGTTGCACCAGGTCGCCAATCAACTGACCTATCTTCCGGGACATGACGGCATGAGCCGGGTTGCACCACACATCCCTATCGCATTCGGCATAGGCCCTAGCATAAGCCACGGCCAAATCAACTTCTTGAAGGACCAGCAAGCGACGTGGTGAGGACGCGTCCGGGAACGCTGTGAATGAGTCATACACACGGCGCGCATCCTCTATCGCAAGTTTGCCGAACGCGACTGCACCTCGTAGAGAGTAATCGAGACGATCAGAACAGAGATGAGGAGCAGGCATCTCCACCAGAGGGTAGAGCTCCTCATCGAACGGTTTTAGATCAACGAAGCCATGCTTGGTAAGGATCTGCGGCAGCTCAGTGGTCATGATATACCGCGACTTGTGGACTTCATGATAGCTCTCCCCTGGCTTTGACAAGACCCCATCGACGTCATGGCTGAGCACTGTGTGGCTTATATCGTGCAGAAGACCCGCAACTTGCTCTCCAACGCTCGCACCGACTTTGCGCACTAACAGCGATGCGCCTATGGAGTGCTCTAACCGAGTCACTGTTTGAGTTGTACCCAACAAGTCGGTTTGGCCATGGAGACCGATGCCTGCGAGTCGGAGCAGCGCTGGGCACCGAAGTAGCTCGGTTAGAACCGGCTCGGAGATGGTGTGCTCCCCGTAGATTTGGTCTTGTATAACCACCGTGTTGTCAGGGTGGAACGTGAGGGTTTGGAAGGAACCCGCCTGTAAAGAGGAAGACATTGTGTGGAAGTCGGATGGTTGATTGGAGGTAAAATGAATGTTGGTTGGTAATTTGAAGCTTGTTTGTTAGTGCATTTCTCTGCCCAATGTTGTTTCTCTTACTTCTGAACCCCGCATTCAAATCTCTGGGTGCGCCAGATCGACTTCAACTCTGATCAGAATTTCCAAGGTTCCGCAACTGACTAGTACCCGTGGCATGAAATAGGATTATAAGCACTCTGGTACTCGAGGGAAATGATTGGAATCAGTCAATAGAGGCGCAGATTATAGAAGAAGCCAAGTTGCTTAACAATCGAGTAGGAGAATGATATCATTTATATAGTTGAGTCTGGCACCCTTTACGTGACTCTCCATATGAGAAAACACCCACAGGATCCAGATTAAACCATGGCACGATAGCTAAGTGGATGTGAAGACGGCATCACGCACAATAAACATCCATGACTTCCTCTTTCCGTCGACGACGTCTGTAGCAGTAGCAATGTGAGGTAAGGGGTCAAAGTGTAACATTGCCCGGACGCCGACAACAGCTAAGGATGATGTAGTGAGCCTGTGGATAAGAGCGAGAAATATCACTTCTAAGAATGATAACAAGATGACAGTTAAGTAACACGACGCACAAGTACAAGACCAGAAGCGGCAGCTAAGTCGGAACAGAGATACAAATCTGACTGGGACACTGATAGGACCAAGTGAAAGTCAAGGCTGGTCAGCCTGAACCCACTAGAAAGCTAGTTAGCTTTCTTTCAATTATGATTAATAGTCATTGGCCCGTTCTCAGAACTAACGAGATAGCCCATTCTTGCCGTTGTGGTGGGTCTCTGTTCAGGATATTGAAAGAGTTAGGGCTGGATGCCTAGCTTCTCTTTGGCTACATTGGCCCTTGTCTAGAGAAAACAAAGAGGAAAAACAAGAAAAGAAAGACTGCGTAGTACGTGGCTTACTGAGTCAATTAATATACCGCAGATGAATATACTGGTGAGATAGATGAAGCAGTCCATTTCAACGGTTGATATCCGCTGCGTCTTGTATGCAAGGCCAGAGTATAGCGAACAACTGTGAGAAATTTGGCCGCGAGTTAAGAGATCAGAGAGTACATGGCAAGTCGCAATGTATTCTTGGCCATCAAGTCCCAGACCGGCCCCTTATACAAAACACATACTAAGTAGTAATCAAGAATGTAATTATAACAAACTAGACTCCGTACCTGAGCACCATCGACAGGGTTGCATTCCGCAATGCTATAGTGGAATACCTCAGGTCACTTGAAAGAGTGCATATGAATGTGAGCATTTGCTGGTCACCTAGAATGTCCCATTGAGTCGTGGAAGAGAATCATTGCGCTCTCTCTGCTTGGTATAGCTCAGGAGTGATGCCTGGGAACTTCTTGAGGAGTAGTCCATAACCACAGGTGTCCAGGTACTGAAAGTATTCGAACAAAGTTGCAAAACGCCCATAAAAGCACATCTCATTATTCATCTCGTGTAGACGCTGATAGCCGTATATTAAATAAAACATAGACGCATGTCTTTTCATAACCAGGGCGTTTTCATCGCACCCTCTGTCATTCCTTGGATCGCCATCCTGCTCAACAGTGGTCGGTAGACTTGCACCACCCGACGCATATAGCCACGATGATAGCGATGATAAGTACTTTATAAACAATCAGCCAAACCCAGTCTACTGAAAGTCCAATGGATAAATAGTATACTTACTGCAAACAAGCAGGATGTACCACTTGTACTTTCTCGCATTACGAGCGCTGATAATCGCATGGCCTATCTTTTCGTTTCCCTTCTCATAGTTGAACGCCGTTTTCTCCGCATTTTCCTCAATGGTCTCAACCATTGGTTCGTGCGCACGAACAAGCTCAGCCACTTGCTGAGAAAGCTCGCTAAGGGCCATCAGATCCTGCTCAATCTTGCGGATGGCAGCCGATCGCTCCATGACAGCAGCCTGTGCATCTCTCGCTTGTCGACTTCGGGCGCCTTGCACCTGTAGCCAGTTAGTTCACTCTCCCTTCACAGGCCCATAGCCCGCGGGCCTTCGAAGTAAAATAAAATGAAAAAATGTGTAAATACCTGAAATACCATCTCTGTCCCTGCCAACACCTGCTGGACGCCATGCTCTACCTCTTCTGGCGATGCTTCCGGGTTCGCAATCTCGTATCGCCGCCACACCTGGTCCCGGAGCGCGCGATCAAACTCCGTCTGCGACCGATAATAATCCTGAATGGCCTGTTGCACTTGGTTCTTCGTGGCATCGACCTGTGCCCGCACGCGCGGATCACTCGGGTCCGCAAGATATCTGAGCTCATCTACCAGGCTGCGGACTTGTTGGAGGACATTGTTGATACTGGATTGCACATCGTCGAGTTCCTGGCGGGCTGATTGATCGTCTGACAAGGTGGTGGAGTTGAGGAGGGCTTGCTGTGCGGAATGAAGATTTGAGTGGCGGAGGGTTTGGATCTGATTGAGCTCGTGGGTGATTTGCTGGCGTTTTGTGAGAACGGGGGTCAACTTGTTGATTTCGAGATCTAAAGAAGTGGTGATGTTACTATTGATTAGGGCTGTAGATAGGGCTCGGAGGTGTGGAGGTTGGGTTTGGTTTACCATAGCCTTCTTCAAGGGCGCTGTAGTTGATATTTGTTGTTGCCATGGTGTTAGGAATGGTCTTGGATGGTTTAGAAAATAACTACAATTGAAACCTGAACCTGAAAAGCCAAAGCGGGCTTATATTGATGAGTTTCGAATGAGACTGAGTTCTATTTTAAGAGTGGGAAATGCGGAGGCCTGAGGTTAGCGTAAGGCAGTGCTGCATCCAGTCTCTTCGCCCTGAGCCGCAGCGCGATCGACAACAGAGTAAGCACTAAGAAGGCCCGAGGCAGTGCTACAACTCCTCCATTGGTTATTTCGGAACCTGAACTCGGTCTTGACCCGCAGAGGCCTGACCAAACATTGACAGGTACATTTGGTCGTCGGTGACACAAAGAGCTAGGATCGAGAATGAGATGCATGTCACTGTAGTCTGACTCACACCGTTCCTACAAAGCTGATGCCATTAAAGACTGAGCTGATACTCCAACTCGGAGACGCACTTCGTTTAAGCAACTTGCGTGTGAATTCCGTGGACGATATTGATCGGAATGCATCTCCTCCAGCTACCAAACGAGCTCCTACAACTGATCGCAGGCAACCTGTCCATGGACGCAGACCTGAACGCTTTAATCCAAACACATAGTCGCTTTTACCACCTGCTCCAAACTTATTTGTTTGAGCACAATGCCCGTTATGGCGAAAGCTCTGCCCTTGTCTGGGCCGCAGCACTTGGCCATATAGAGATAGCAAAAAAATTACTTCAAGCTAAAGCAGATGTCAACACCCTTGGCCCTCTCCACCGTTCTCTCTACAAACTCAACTTGCGTACTTCCCGGCGCATCACCGTGCCCTGTGATTTTGTGTGGGAATCGTGCTTCCCTGGGGATCGGCGCAGGTCAACGCCGATCATGCTTGCGGCAATGTGTGGACATAAGGAGATTGTTGAGCTTTTGGTCCACCACGGCGCCGACATCAATCGCGAAGTCAGCGGTTGTACCCCTATACTCGGAGCGATAGGACATGCGCATGCTGATATTGTGGAGTACTTACTGATCGCTGGTGCTGATCTGGATGTCATCTTGAGAGGTGATTTCTCGTGGCATACGCCACTCGAGCATGCAGCACATGAAGGACATGTGGAGGTGGTGAAGGTCCTGCTTCGGCATGGCGTTGATCCTAACAAGTCCTCACCACTCGCGCTTGCGGCAGAAATGGGCAGAGTGGAGGCGGCGCGTGCGCTACTTGAAGGGGGAGCAAACGTCGAGGGAAGAAATACTCACAATGATATGGATGCACTCTTTAATGCAGTATATAGAGATGAAGCATCGATCGTCGGCCTATTGATCGAGTATGGGGCCAGTCTTGAACGCAGAGATGATGATGACATGACTCCCCTCGCATTTGCCGCTCAAGTTAGAAGTGTTAAAGTTGCTGAGGTGCTTCTTGATCATGGTGCCAATGTCAATGCCTTGGTACATGGCTCCACAGCGTTGTCTTTCGCGATCGATGAAGGAAATGTGCCGGTGGTAAAACTACTGCTTGAGAACGGTGCTGATTTAACCTTGACGAACGAGCCATTTCTTTTAGGTGTACTTAAGAGATGTCGCAATCAGGAAGTGGACACCGCAATAGTCGAGCTGCTACTAAGTCACAAGGCCGATCCTAATTGCTGTGACCAGAAAGGGAGGACACCATTGATCCTTGCGACAGTTAAACATAATCTCGACATTATGAGGTTATTGCTTGCGCACGGAGCCAATCCCAACCGAGAAGACGAGGGAATTGATTTATTATCGTGGGCCTTTTTGAAAGGTCATGCAGACGTAGCAAATATGCTACTCGCTTATGGCGCCAGGGAATCATGGCTCAGAGGTGATCACATCATGACACTCCGAGGTGAATAATGCTATTAATTTCGTCATGACTTGGGTTGTATCGATTTTGCTGAAGTATTATCACTTACTCTTTGTCTAATCTCTATTCACCCTCGAGAATCTCGATTGCAAAAGAGTTTATCTCAACGCCGGATCCAACGACTTAGTCTGCTCTATTTCTGCGAGCTCAAAGTACCTCTGTCTGCCAAGTACCAAAAATGGAGACCAGGCTCAAGCACCTTAGTCAAAAGTTTTCTGCTTTGGATGACGTTGGAATAATGGATGATGAAAGCGACTGGGATGGTGAGTACTTTCCTAGTGGTTATAGGTCGGAAGATCTGTATGGAAGTATGACTGTCGACCTGTTCTATGAGACTGCGCTAACAGTGTCAAGATCTATCCTTAGACGTGAATATGGTAGACAGTAGCGTGTTGCTAGAGACTTCCTCTTGCGTTTCAATGTCGACCGAAGAGAACGAAGAAGTCAGCGATATTAGCAACGACGACATGGACAAGGTGGATAAGAGCTTTATCGAAAAGCTTGAGGTCAGGGCTCTGATGGCTCTTCCAATCCACGACTTCATTAAAATGAAGCCCATCCAGTCCATAATAGACAGCCTTACACAGCCACAGCTAGTAGATATGGCTAGGAAGCTCTTAGAGCTTGATAAATTCTAGGTCCAGCAGCACAGAATCACAACATACAGGATAACATACGGCCACCCTTCATCAGAAGTGAAGGATGCTATTCAAAGGCACCTTGTGAAAGAGCCACCATGTCCTGTTGACGAGGTGGTTACCAGCATTCCTACATTAGATTGCATTGACAATAATCTCCGCAAGAAGAACAAAGCGCAACTGAAACAGTTGTTGGAGGAGGCGCTCAATGATTCTCACACAGCGAAATTATATACTCTTCTCGAGGAACGAATCTGAGCGTTGCCAGAAGAGACAAGACGTCAAATCCTTGCGGAAGCGCACTGGATATTGGATTATCTAGAATGGCGGGACCTCTGGAAGCCATGAGTAGGAAGGATTAACTGACGAGACTGCCACGTAGGAAAGGTTCTCTGGTTCCCTAGAAGGACCAGCAAGTTATTGATGGGAATTTCCTAAACAGTATCTATCTTGTGCCTTAGGAAACTCAACTATAAAGCAGTTACTTACGCAGCAGTGTTGCGATCTTCTTTGCTCCTTAATTTTGATTGATCATCCTCGTGTTCGGCAAATTAGCGTGCAAGATCGCCTTGACGGTGGCTGGTATTTCAACTTTTCGTATAAACTCGCTTAATCCGACACATTCACTACTGGTGTAGATCCTAAAACCCAAGGCTCCGACTTAAGTGGGATATACTGGAGAAAATGGTGGAGACAAAGAATCAAAGTAGCTCTATCCTATCCACCCAAGACAAGCGCAGAGATTTGTATGAATATGAGCCCTTGCCCACCCCCACGTCTATCAGACTCATAAAGGTGGAGGGCAAAGACCAAGACGGGGCAGTCCATGTGCGAATCAAGACCATTGATCTGAAAGACGCTCCTTGGTATCACGCCGTCTCCTACACCTGGGGAAACCCACACACTGAGTTACCCCACGTTCAAGCAACTCATACGGCTTATTCTCAAAAGTACCCGCCTGACTATCGAGAGCCTATAGTGGCAAACGGGAAACTTTTATATGTCAGTCGAAGCGCATATGACATCCTGGTTACTGTGCCGAAGGACGCCTGGGCAAAGCGGTGCAACCAGAGAAATTCCAACAACCAACTTCGCGCGAGTATTCATTCAGCCTGCATGACGAACAAGATAGAGTTCGTCGAGGAGCTGATCTCTGCTGGGGTTGATGTAGATGTTCAAGACGAACTTGGTCGAACTCCGCTGTCCTATGCCGCGAGGCTTGGGAAGCTTGATTTCGTGGAGCTCTTGCTCGCTGCCGGTGCCGATCCCAACATTGTTGATGAGAATGAAAGCCGGCCTCTCGACCATGCTCGGGAAAGCGGGGTGGAAGAAGTTATCAAATGCCTCGAAGAGGCCGAGAAAAGGGATAAAGTGGATTGTTCTGTCACATCGTGGCCCGAGGGCCCTCAGATGTGGTGTTGGGTCGACCAGATCTGTATTGATCAGAGCAATCTCGAAGAGAGAGGTTCACAGGTGTCAATCATGGACCAGATCTACGAATGTGCCTCTTACACTCTTGTATGGCTCGGGCTAGAAGACCCTTATACCGAAACTGCTGTCGAGACGATTCGCAAACTGTATTCCGCTCAAGGGGATTTCATTCATGCAAATGATATTATTCCCTACAAGCATCAGCCCAAGGAAGTATATGCCACAGCTGATATTCCGTATGTTTCGCTAGCAGAGTGGACGGCTGTTGCTACGCTTTTTCTACGGCCATACCTAAGAAGACTCTGGGTGATACAAGAGAACATTCTCTCCGACACATGCCTGGGATATTGTGGTAGGTTCGAGGTTCCTTGGCGAGCATTCTGCACAGTTGCGCAGCAAATCTACTTCCGGCAGCTCGTGTTGGGGAGAGTTACTTCAACGGAGTTTATCGACATCAACAGTCCCGTGGTGGCCATAGAGAGCGAAATCGTGCATCTGACGCAGTGGAAAGACCGTCTCCAGAAGGGTGACCAAGCTTCTATGCCTAAAGCCCTCTCTTTAGAGAACCTCCTCTTTGAGACGTGGACTTTCCGGGCCACCGACCCAAGAGACAAGATATTCGGCCTTTACGGTCTTTTAGCCAAAGCAGGAACTGTCCCCTGGAAGCCGGACTATTCGAAATCCGCCGCGCAAGTTTACGCAGACGCCACAAAACAAGTGATGAAGGACGCCGGTGATCTGCGCATGCTTTCAGCGGTCCTCGATCGTTCGCTCCACAACATCTCCGACCTCCCGTCGTGGGTTCCCGACTACAGTGTTCCGTTTTGTAACATGATGTGCGCGAACTACAAGGCGGCTGGAAACCTGCCTCAGCAGGCTATCCAACCCGGCCCTTGGAACGTCCTCGCAGTATCCGGACTGAAAATCGACACCGTCCTGCAAAAGGGAAACACCACTTCGGGGCCCAAGCAGATCGCCATGTTCTTCGACGCACGCTGGTTCGAGCTCGCCTTGCTCCTCCCACACCCTTATCACAACGGGCAGCCCAGAACCGAAGCACTGTGGCGCACATTATGCGCGGACCAGAAGAAAGACGGCTCATTCCCAGCTCCTGTAGCGTACGGGGCGCTTTTCCGAAGCATGCTGTGCAGACTTGCCTGTGTTAAGGCAGAGGAGACCGCCAGAGCTGCTGAGCAAGATCCAAATGTGGTGGTGCTGGAGGCGGCTCTATACCATATCCGACAGATTCTGTCAAATCCGCCGATTTCGAATCTCTCGCTCGAGGACATTCAACGGACCTTTGGAGACCCGGACACAAACCTCAGCAGCCCTGACCTCCAGACTCTCACTCATCTTCTTTACAAACTCCATTTTCTCGGCGTGGTGGAGGAGGACCCCTGCACGCCGACTATTGATGAGGTTGAGGGATCTTACCGCAGCACGAAATGGCAGACATGGGAGGAGAGCAGTGTACTTCCTGGTGATGGTATCGAGTACCACGAGGCACTCAGGAGTAAGCATGGTAGACGGCGTCTGTTTGTAACCGAGAAGCGGTATCTCGGGCTTGGTCCTGCGTCGATGCTCGATGGAGACGAGGTTTGGGTTGTACCTGGTGCTGGTGCTGCACTCGTTCTGAGACCAGTTGAGCAGGGAACGTTTACTTTGATTGGAGAGGCATACGTGCATGGAGCCATGAATGGGGAGGCTGTTGAACAAATTGACGCGGACCTTTCTAGTATTCGTCTTGTCTAGGACATTGAACAATCCAACGACTTAGGTACCCAACAATACTCAGAAATTCTGATCTGGTTATTGCTTGTTGGTGAAAGGCCCGTCTGTCATAAGAGTGGTTGCTATAGCTTATATGATATGGTTCCCGGTGAGAGGAATAATTTGGTTTTCTATACAGTTATATTGACGTAAATACATAACAGGACATTAGAGAGCTAGAGTCTAATTCTAAAAAGCAAAGCAATAAACACCGTCAATCTGTCTATAAGAATGTAGTGCGGTAAGACCGCTTCTCAGCATCCACGTCTCACGGAGAGACGCTCACAGCTTGCTGGAGAAGTAGGGAATGTTCTTCTGCTCATACAATTCCCTGTACTGGGCCTTGATGATATCGGCACCCTGTGAAACGATCGATATTAGTTATAATGTCCTTCAGAAATTTGAAGGGACTCCATGTTCTCACCTTTTCACCGATCATGTAGACCGAGTTCTGGATACGGCAGTCAGGGATGACAGGCATGATCGAGGCATCAGCAACGCGGAGGTTCTTAATGCCATGGACGCGCAACTTGCTGTCAACGACACCCTGTTGGACGTTCTTTCCCAGACGGGCGGTACCACAAGGGTCTACAACGGTGTTAGTGATTGCATCTCAAATTATGCTGGAAAAGTGAATACTTACGGAATCCAGTCTGACTGCGGTCCAAGACAGCCTTGTTCATGGCCTCGTCGGAGTCGAGGGGCATGTTCCAAGGGTACTCCTCGAGGACGAGATCCTTGAAGCCCTCGCCCTTGGTGAGGACATCGTAAGTCCACCTGACACCCTCACGCATGGCCAGGACGTCGAGGTCGCTGGCGAAGAAGTTAAGGTTGATGTTGGGCTGCTGAAGAGCATCTGTGCTGTTCAGGGTAACCTCACCACCCTCAGACACGGGGCGAAGGAGATCGACAATGACGGTCATGTAGCTACCAGAGGGGGGCACAGGGTAATGCCACTGGAATGCAGAGCTGAAGAGTCCAACGAAGTCGAGTTCGAAGTGGGGCTGGCCAGCAGGGCCGAAGGGGTCAAGGCCACCGTTGGCAGCCTTAGCCTCACGGTAGGCAGGGTAGCGGTTCAGGCGCTCATCGATACGAGGGAAGCCAACCAGCTCCAGGAAACCGGAAGCGGCCGGACCGGTCTTGTCGCGGCGGTAGGCAGCAACAGCAGCCTCGTTGGCGGGTCCAGCACGGTGAATGTGATCATCAAGAGCAACACCGTCCTTGAGGCGCAGGACGAAGGGCACAATAGGGTGGTCGAGAAGGTTCTTACCAACATGGGGAGAGTCAACGACCACATCGATGCCGTGCTTGTTCAGCTCAGCAGCAGGACCGATACCACTCAGAAGCAGGAGCTTGGGGGTCTCGAACACACCCTGGGAGACAATAACTTCGCGGGTAGCATAGAGGTTAAGCTCAGCACCATTGGTGGGGTCGACAACAGTCACACCAGTACAGGTCTGAGTGGTGCGGTCGATGATCAGGCGCTTGGAGTGGACCTGAGACAGGATAGTGACGTTCGGCTTGTTCTCGAGGTACAGCCAGCTACCTTGGCGCTGACCCTTGTAGATCGTATCCACACAGTGGGTCAGACCGTGCATTTCACCGGAGTAAATGTCCTCGGAAAGCGGCTCGCCCTTGGAGGTCCAGGCAGTGGTGAGAGCATTGCGGAAGGTCTCGAGCTCAGGAACAAGCTCGGCGTGGGAGATCTGGACAGGTCCACCGGTACCGATCTTGTTCAGATCGGTGGGGTAGAGCCCCTCGTCATCGTGGTAGGTAGCACACTTGCGGAGGTAATCCACACAGTTGTCCCAGGTCCAGTCACTGCCGCCGAACTCGTACCAGTCATCAAAAGTGGCCTTAGATCCGGGGATCCAGGTGAAGTAGTTGGCACAAGAACTACCACCAAGAGCCTTACCACGAGTGTTAGGCTTTTCAACACGCTCGTAGTCATCACGCTTGATCATGGTAGTCTTGTAGGCCCAGTCATACTGGCTACCACGGAGTCCGAAGGCCTTGGAAGGGGTGGTGATGTCCTCGATCTGGCCGGAGTTGGCGATACCAGCTTCGACGACGAGAACGCGAACGCTGGGGTTCTCGGAAAGGCGACCAGCAATAGCATTGCCAGCGGTGCCACCTCCGACGACGATGAAGTCGTACTGGTTGTTGTTGACTTGGGCACTCATGATGATGGTTGAAGTAATAGAAATAGTGATTCTATTGTAGATTGGATTGAAAGATTTGGAAGAAGATTGTGATTGTGATTGTTTTTGTTGTTGTTTTTGTTATTGTAGTAACTGTTATTGTTGTGATGATGATAGGAAGATGTCTTTGGTGCTGGAATCCATGGTTCTTTTATACTGACATGCTCCATAAGATCGATGCTCCAGACTTTCGGTGACATCGTCATTAATGAGGGGGATGCCGACTTTCCGTGGTGGATTGTGAAGGTTTTCAAAAATAGCTCATGGAGTATGATGCATTCGGAGAGTGTAAGGTCAAGCTAAGCCTGAGCTAAGGTTGACCCAGAAGGACTGTAGAAGACTCGGCGGTGGAGATGGTTCGGCGATGGATCGGACCCAAAATACTACTTCCTAAAGGGGACACAGTAACAGGAACACGGGACTTGAGTGCCGATAGTCATACTAAGAAAAGCCACTGTGGCGCCCATCCCTCGTCTTGCACGTGATATTGGCCTTCCCCTCACGCGACATTCTGGGCTTCCCCTCATGAGGGGAACCCATCACGAAACCGAAATGGTGAGGGTTTTTGCTGCTCCACTATAGCTTCAAATTTCTCGTATCCACATACTTGCGTGCCACTGGTAATTCTCGAATTACACTTCATAGCGATAAGGAAGCCTGAACATTCCCAATGAGGCGTCAGCACCGGCCCGAGTATCCACCTCCGAGAATAGGCCGGAAGCCTTCAATGGGGCATATGGATGTCAAACTGTGTCGGTCCACAGCTAAGAGAAAAATATATATAGGGGAGATGGGCCTGGATCGGTGGGAACCCCAGATTCCTCTACTTGTACTCCAGAAATAGCAATAGGAGCAATTGCGTCAGACATCTCCATTCATACAATTCACATCAATATGATCCAGAAGACACCACATCAGTACACTTTGGCTGAGGGTAAGCATTGATCTCATTGATAAAACATAATAAAGTCAACCCTGGCTCACTGCTGTACTTGTAGGGCAACCTATTTCGGACCCCTCGGTCTCCACGACTCTCCCAACTTTCGGTGGTGGCAGTCTGGTCACTCTTGCTGACACGACACTTCTCGAGACTCTGGCTCATTTCAACCGGGAGCGGATCCCAGAAAGGTAACCACAGACAAATGACCACTGGCTTATTGGGTGTGCTGACTCTGTTTAGAGTTGTCCATGCCAAAGCAGCTGGTGCTTGGGGAGAGTTCGAAGTTACCCATGACATCTCCCATCTCACCAGCGCCAAGTTCCTCAACGGAGTTGGCAAGAAGACACCGGTTCTTTGCAGAATCAGTACTACTGGTGGTGAGAAGGGCAGTGCCGATACGGTTCGCGATGTTCGTGGCTTCGGTGTGAAGTTCTTCACTGAGGAGGGTAACCACGATATTGTTGGCAATCACACAGTATGAATCACCGCATCCACATGAGATAATTGCAGCAGTCATACTAACCATAACAGCCCGTTTTCTGGGTCCGGGATCCTGTCAAGTTCCCAGCTGTCAACCGCTCCCACAAGAAGAACCCTCAAACTAACGCACATGATCCCACAATGGTAAGGGCAACATCTGCTCCTTTGGTCTCCGCAATTGCTCACGTCAATACAAGTTCTGGGACTTCCACGTCAACAGCCCCGAGAGTGTTCACGGTCTTCTTCATCTGTTCGGCTCCCGCGGTATCCCTTCGTCCGTCCGTCGCATCACTGGTTTCGGTCTCCACACCTTCAAGCTTGTCGCTGCCGATGGGTCCTTCAACTACTGCAAGTTCCACTTCCGCCCCGAGCAAGGCGTGGACAATATTTCCGAAGACGAAGCTACGCGCCTTGCTGGTGTCAATGCCGACTACCATACCACGGAATTGTTCGATTCGATCGCACGTAAGAACTACCCAGTCTGGGGTCTCTACATCCAGGTTATGAAGCCTGAGGAGGCCGAGAAGGCCGGCCTGATGACCTTTGACATCACCAAGGTCTGGCCACACAAGGACTTCCCCCTCATCCCGGTTGGCAAGATGACACTGAATAGAAACGTAAGGGCTTCTTCGACCCCGAGCTGAGGTGCATTTCATACTAATACACATATCTAGCCTGCCAACTACTTCGCCGACATCGAGCAGGCAGCATTCTCTCCATCCAACATGGTTCCTGGTATCACCTTCACGCCGGATCCCAGTATGTGATTCCCCATGTTTATTACGCTAAACGCATTTCGAATCTAGTGCTGATAAACCCTTTAATAGTGCTCCAAGCCCGCATGTTCGCCTACCCTGACGCCCAGCGCTACCGTCTCGGAGCCAACTACACACACCTGCCACCAAACCGACCCGTGGCCCCTGTATATGCTCCCTTTGAGCGCGACGGTCTGACCCAGACCAGCAACTACGGCGCAGACCCGAACTATACCCCCAATACGTTTAAGCCTGCAGTCCAGAGCCAGCAGTCCACACAAGATGTGCGTCATGGAGAGTTCCTTAAAGGAGCTGTTCTAGGATTGAACAATATCCCTGTGACCGACGCAGATTTCGTGCAGCCGAGAGCGCTGTGGAGAAACGTCTTCGACGATGCCGAACGGAGACTGTGCGCGTCTAACATCTCGGAAACTCTCGTGGCCCTCCCCACAGAGTTGAGGACCGCTGTCATCGACCTGTTTAACAAGGTTGATCCGGAGATCGGCAGACTGATCTCCGCCAAGTTGAGTGGATCTGCCAGACTGTAAGTGGGGGGTTACTTTTCCTTACAGTTAAGGTCCAGGCCACAGTATGAGGCTGAATGCAGGTGAATACTGTGTGGGGGTGCTCCATTTCATGATTTTGACGCTTATCACGTCGGCTATATGTACATATGTATATCGGTTGGGTTATTAGACTTCCTTCTAGATTCAATTCAATTTTAATGTCACTAAGTTCCGAGCTTTCTTTATCCATTTGATAGCTATATGTTGCGGGTCTATCCGTCTATAGTATGTGGAAGTTGGGTATCATCTTACTGGATAGTGTTGAAGGATTACTACTATGCATTTCTTATCAAGTTCCCATTATATATAACCACATCGTAGTTAGTACCAAGTGAACTTGAACATCCATCTTCTTCAGCCTAACAGTTGTGCACTCACCATAGCACAACGAATATCAATATACTACATCCAGTACTCAACCCCCTGCCAATGATCCCCAGCAAATCAATACATGAGCATAAGTAAATACAGTCATTAATGCACGACTCCATCCCGTTAAGTGGCCCGTGCACATCAACGAAGTACGGTAGAAATTACGTGATACCGCGGCCCACCAAAAACTTCCCGTGTATCAACAGTGGATACTCGATGAAAAAGTTGCGATAAAGGAGACAAAACTTGCCCAATAGAGTGTAGCTGGACGGTAAGCAGGTTGGAGATGTCAATTGTACCCCTCACGGTACCCCTCGTGAGGGTGTTAACTATCAGGCGATGTTCGGCATCAGTTGGATATGATTCTATATTGTTCTTCCAAGATTAGACTAGTGTAGCGCAGAATTTTTTCGGCGGTTTTTGCACTCGGGTTTTCTGTTGGGGACGAATATATGTAGGAATATTTTGAAGGCTTGGGACAATACTACTGATTCTGAATGTGCTCCGTATACAGTACTTTGTGCCTGGGGAGTATAGTTAGGAGCGAGGAAATTTCTTGTCTCGGTGCAACTAGCAAAGCTGAGCATTAGATACAAACTCCAATTGAAGCGGCCCAATTCATATAATGGTCAGGGAATTTAGCCTATGATAGTGCAGCGATTATGCACTTCTTTCGACTCGGAAGACACCCCGGAATGAGTATTTGACCAGCTTATCTACGGAGTTCAACCTCAAGGATCGCTTGCACTCATTCGGATGGTCAATGCAAGCTAGCACCGAATAGGATTCTCGGGACCCATTCGGCCCACCGAGTCGTCAGACTTCACCGCTACCCCCTCGGTAGGTCTTCCGACCACGGTTTACCGTGCGGGGACGGTTCGTCTCTCCAATTAGAAATGTGGCTGTGTCGGTCAACAGAGATCGATCTCTTAGGGCATACGGGCATCTCAACCGCAAATCATTGCTCGGGAGTTCGTGACGGTCGTAATACTACGGTTCGGCATGAACCATCACAATAGAATTTCCCAGCTAAACATGCGGTGTGTAGTCGAGGACGCCTAGGCCTCTAGTAGTTTAATTAATACTACGAGATACCGTCCGATATCTTAAAAATTTAGAACAAGGTTTTCAGCTTTAGCATAATTATAGGAACAGCTGCAAATGGATTACTTGATGTACACTATTCCAGCCATTATCCATGCGACGTAGTATGGTAGAGCAAAGAAAATACGTGTTTAGTTGATTCTTAATCCAATACTTGATCAATTCTGAGCTCCTTTGCCGTCGCTAACATCAAAATGCGACAGTTGTTTTCCGTTCGTCGACCGGGTTGAGTCCGATCATAGATCCAAAGACCAAATGGGGCCGCTTAGGTTGTTCTATGCGACCGATACACGGGTCCCCTGATATTGATCTACCAGGAAAGGGATCGGATTTTGGCCATTGCACCAATGCAGCTCTGCAAGGTCCTTGGCAGTCCGTTGGTCATCGATCGCGCGTCTGAAGAAAATCCACGTGCTGCTGTTCCGGGACAGGCGGAGAATGTAGATAGGGACAATATAGGTTTGTTTATGAGCTATATGGTAGTCGTATCGGCGATTATTGATATCGATCAGAACATATGTGTGTTTTGGGTATACGTCGACGACAAGTAGTCGCGATAAGTTTCCCTATTCCCACTCTGTCATTAGTGGCTTGATGATATTTGTCGCCGAAGTCAAGTAGTCCACAGGGTCTAGGACATTGGTAGGTATATCAACAACGATTCGGATTGTACGCCCTTCTCCAATAGCTCGAAGAACTTCTTTATTGACATACATTCATGTTAGAATGTACACGAGATGGATACAGGTAAAGATGACTAGAATTATCTGAGTCCGGGTACTCGGTGCAGTGTCGTGAGGGTTCGGTGGAAAGGAAGAAGGGCCCGGCGGGATTTTGGGGCACTCGATTAACACACAGATTGGTGTTTTATTGACATATTTGGATAGGCAAATGTTCAGTTGGACTGCAAGGTGCTCTAGCTGATGCCTAACGCTCCCGGCGATTGTAACCTAGAATGACGCAAGGGGAGTTTTCTCCAATCCTAGCTTATACTTAAATACTACGCACACCCAGGAGAAGATGAGAATAAGAAAGAATACAATATGGAGCATCTACCGAACGAATTGCTTATATCCATCGGAGAGCACACCTAGGAAAGATGATAGCCTACGAGAACATTGCGTTCGCTGACCTTGTGCTCTCGGCGATTGTATACAGTGTTTCAACCTTTACTTTATTCTCACATCCGGCCTCGCCGGTCTATCCATTTTCTTCGTTTAATTATACATCTCTGGAGACGCCCTGAGCTGGCTAGTCGAGTGCGCCATTTTAAGCTTTATTGGACGCTTTGTGTAGTAGAATCTCGTGGTGGATTGGACGAGAACAAAGCTGTCAAGTTTATCGACTATGCATTGGATGAGATATCCGAACCAGAGGAAGAAGAATCCAGGTCCAAATGGAGAAAACATCTGCTTGTCCCATGAGAAGAGGCTTGGTTGGGCTTGCTTCTCGTCCGCTTGACACATCTAGAAACAGTCGAGGTCGGCCACGGGTGCTCTGAATTGATGTCAGACATCTTGCGCAAGGCAGCACGGCGCCAGCGACCCTTCCACCAGACCCGATTCAATTCATGAGATGAAAGGGCCACTTGTTGATATACTTCCCTCCTCCCTTGGAAATCTGGAAGTCCTGGAAATTGAGGAGGATCATTACCTTGATCTGCTGTTTGACCTGTCACGATTGGTGCAAGGCCGGGCTTCTTTTCCTCGGCTTGAACGAATCACACTTTACCTGATGAACTTGGATAAGAGCCCATTAAATTCTTTAAGTCATGAATATGGGACCGTTGGGATCGACTTTAGGGTGAAGGCACAAGTATTTTAATGGTAGGAGTGGTTATCGTTCAAGGGACAGAATTGGCATAAGCAGGCATGAATGGCAATACCTACGGCGTCAATTCCCTCAAACTGGCACCGTTCATAATTACTTCATTCTAAGCCTCAATACTCACACTAGCCACACATGTATATATGTCGTCTGAGACAACTCCGAACAATACTGATATGCCCCTGGGAAAATATCTATGGGGATCCGGATGGATCCACCGGAGGCATTAGAATGGATACTGAACAACAGAACTACTCATGAGACAGAGATTCAGGATAGAGAAGTATATAAGCTTTAGATATAGAAAAATAAACAGGGCAGAGAAAAAAAAAAGAAGAAAAACATACAACAGGAGGGATTCGCTGGTGGTCACCCACCCAACTACTAACCTCCCGGCGTGTGGCTTAAGTACGGCTGAGCGGACGGGAAGCCCTGTTCTCCACACCCTATGGTCGTATGTGCTAGATTTTTGGTTTTACAGTATTATAAAGCTCATAAAGAGACTTCTACCGGACATCCAGTGAATTAACACCAACCGCGTCACTGATGGACTGGGGATCTCCAACATACTCGGTATACAGCTGGTCGAATTTGAAGAAACGGAAACATGAAGTGGCCCAGGTTAGCCTTCCGGTCTACCTCATCTCTCCTACTTCTGAAACCTTACCTGGAGATGGGAATGTGTAACATCTGCACATAATTATGTTGCTGCTATCTGGGAGAGGCTCACAAGACAAACGATATAGCTATGGATGTACAGACTATCTGTGCATGCCGATCAGTGGAGATAGCCACCGTGTCCCGGCTCCAGCACTGGGGTTTCCACCTTTTTTCTTTTTCCTTTTCTTTTTTCTTATTTCTACCCAGATGGAAGATCCGATGACCTGATCAGTAAGGATGAAAACATATTCGAATGAGTTGATCATGTTAAACGTACCTATATAGCGGTGAATCCTACAATCATGGATCCCTGAAGAATTCCCTTGACTTGGACTATTTACACCACTTACAAGTTACCCGTGCATGAATGCGTGTCATGACACTCGACGGTCCCTGAATCAAGGAAATCTGAAGAACTACCCCGACCTAGATGAACAAGGGTACGGTCCATACTATGGGTCAACTAAACAAGGATCTACTACTAGTAGATGGCCCCGCGGTATCTAAGATCCGAAGAATACAAGCATGCCTACTAGTACCTACCCCTGTGAGCTACTTTAGTTGCAGTGGGGAGACGCATGGGCCCATGATTAGACAGGTCACTCTGTACTTCCCTAAATCCGGAAGAAACGGGTTGAGCTTTCCTGCACCCTGTCAATCGCCGTACCCACATCGTGCCATTTTAGAAACGATGTTTAAAATGTAGCATATGCGCTCGTCAGCGCAGGCATGGGTATATTTCCACACTTAATCTGGAGACAAAGTAACGCCATGGAGAATGTTGACCGTTCTTTGGTTCTAGGGCTTCTACCAAATGGCCCACATTCACTGGCATGCCGCCTACCTACTCAACTGGTGCTTCGGGTGATGGGGTTCCATAGGGTATTTGTATGTCTATACCGCCGCTTTTGATTTACTTTTAGTCTTTTTTTGGGAAACGAAATTCTAAAACTCGTTGACTATTGATCTGCAGGAATCTTTCCCAAAAATCGGGATATTCCTTATTTACTTACCTGGATGGCTGGTGCGTAATATAAGCGTGATAGATTCTTTCATGCTCGCATGTGCTCGATCATTATCTCCCTGGCTTCCTCTGCCTGCTTCTGTATATCCAGATCCCACAGCCAGCGGAGGCGCTGGTTCCACGTCTCCTTGAGCTTCTCTTCATCATCACCCACACCGTCCAAGCATAAACAGAGGAGGTACGCATTTTCCTTGCTACTAGTAACGACCCTTTGGCTTCGCGGTCGTCGGACCTCATCGTAAGCCTTGAAAGCAGCTACAGCATGCTCCGACTTGGTAACTCGCGCATCCCCGAGGAGCTCAGCAATCACATGGGCATCTTCAATAGCCTGTCCGGCGCCAGCACCCTGATGCGGTGTAGAGGCATGTGCGGCGTCCCCAAGGATGGCAACCTTTGACCGAGAGTACGTGGAGATATGAGGATGCTCGAAAATCGCCCATTGAGAGGGATCGGGCATGCGCTAGGTGAACCAAGTCAGCTGGTGTCTCAGTCAACATGGACGAGGGCCTGATTCCATACCTCAATAACGGCATTCACATATCTGCCCATATTCTTGGCATCCTTGCGCATCTCCTCCCTCTCGGCTGGTCGAACCCAGGTGTCACAATCCCATTTCTCACTCAAGATATACAGGCCGAAATTCACTTTCTTGGCCCGCATGATCGGATATGAGATACCGTATGCGCCGTTTCCGACATACATGGTGGACACCCTCGCACGTTGCTCGCCGACGGCCTCCACCATCTCATCCATATCCAGTACAGCACGATACCCGTACATTCCACTGTACTGGGGTTGTTTTACCTTTGACTCTTCCGGCAGCATCGACTCCTTTACCTTGGATTTGATTCCATCACATCCAACAACAACATCAGCGACGGCCGTCGTGCCATCGTCAAATCGCAAGGATACACCCTCGGCTGTTTCTTGGAGACTCTCCAGTCGCTTCCCAAATTGCACAATCTCGGGAGGAATCAGATTGACTAACGCATCGAGAAAGTCCGCTCGGCGCAACGTTGTCTGCCCCGACGGAAGCGCCTTCAGGTTCATCAGCGTGTCACCCTCTCGGTCGCCGCTGGCCCATACAATCTCAAACCATGTTTGGCGGAACTGCTCGTAGCCAGGGCTATCTGCGTGAGTTGTGACGAGCGAGTCATAGATCTCTCGAATTTGAGGGTCAATGAGGGGCATAGTACGGTGAGCGGCAGGGCCAATGGACAGGCCAAGGCCGATCTCAGCGAAGGCGGGTGCCGCCTCGTAGATCTGGACGGGTACTTTGCGGCGCAGGAGACCGACGGCAAGTATGAGGCCGCCAATCCCACCGCCGACAATGGTGACGGTGAAATCCTTGGATGGTTCCATGCTGCCCATGCTTGACTTGGAGCACCTTTTACCCTTTTTTTTTTTTCTTTTTTCTTTTCTTTTTCTTTTCTTTTTCGCAATCCGGTTCAGGTAATGATCGTTAAGCTTTTCTGAGACTACTCACAAGGAATGTGCGTCCAGATCAGGGTGCTCCTGCAGGCTAAGATACTGAAAAGGGCTATGTGGAGCGTGGGTCAGTTACAGTCACAACTCATTAAAAGCAGAGCCAGGACATGGCGTGATTTGAACTTTGGGTCGTAGCGATCATTTACCTTAGTAATTCCAATCAAAATACGCCCCAGCCAGCCATGCGTGTCCAATGCAACAGCGGAGATATCCGAACGATCCGGGAGGCGAGCGGTTGGTCCAGACTTAATATGTCCGTTATTAATTCGAGCAGGGATGTGGCAGAGAACTCCACGAGGGGCACGGCGATTCGCATGGCTAAAATAAGAGCGTCGTATCGGCCAATGCGCCATGACAGGGATCGTGTGGAGGTCAAAGTTCGACGGCGTCCCGGGCCGTGTGGGGTCGAGACAAAAGGACGAGAGATCCAACGTTTGTTCCGCTGAACCGTGGTTCTCTCGGGTGTGTGCCGGATCCTACGCTGGGTGTAATCAATGAGAAATTCAAGTCAGTGTCCGCCGACATTCTTCGGACCAAATATTTCCTCCGGAATGCAAGGGCAAGACATGTGTCGGGGGTGGCCTCGGCAAAGCTTCTTACGGGAATTAGTGGTTCTTCGACAGGGTATCCCTGTGCTGAAACGAATCCTTGCCCCTCCCTGCTAGACTGGATTATTATTTCTTCTTCTTTTTCGTTCTTGTTTGTGCCTCTCTGCCTTGGCACTAAAAAAAAAAAAGAAAAGAAAAAAAAAAGACCATGGTTGTCTTCGCCCGATAAGCGTCCCCATTCCCCTGTGATTGCCGCAGACCATCATACCTCATGGAGAGGTCAACAGTACCATCTGATGGCGGCGACGTCTCTAGAGCGTCGATGGTCACGGTACCGACCATTGCTACAACCATCATTGCTTTAATCCTTACATTACTACGGCTATATGTGCGCCGGTACATGATTCGAATGTTGTCCTGGGATGACTGGTTCAATGTCTTTGCGATGGTGAATCTCGAGTTTACGTGGATGTGCACACTCTGGATCCTTGGCTGACCCGATATCACTTCAGTTGACGCAACTGGTTGTTCTGGGACTGGTTCTTGGAGCAACCTCGCATGGTTTTGGACGACACGTAAAATATGTCGGCCATGACAACGCAACTTACAGCATGAAACTTTTGCGGATATGCGAGTTTTTATTAATTTTCACAACAGTCTTTCTCAAGATTTCAATTAGTCTTTTCCTCAAGAGGCTTTTGTAAGTACCCATACTGGGGTCCCGCCCACCGCCACGCTACAGCTAACAGTGGTGTCAAGCCTCACAAGCAAGAAATGGAGGGTTTTCTTCTGGTGCTTTATCGCCTTTAACACCATTACCAGTGTACTCGACGCCGCCGTTATATTCCCTCAATGTACCCCCGTGGAGCTTAACTGGGATAAGTCAGTGGATGGACACTGTTGGTCGGCTTCCGCGATCGATGCGATTGGAATCGCCCAAGGAAGTACGGCTCCCGCTCATTTGATGCCGGTATAATCTGACATGATCTACGTAGCGATTGCTGCATCAACCGACTTTGCTTTGTCCATTCTGCCAATTATTTTCCTATGGAACATCAAACTCCCGAAGAGAGTGAAACTGGGCATATGCGGGATTATGGCCCTGGGGTTCGCGTGAGTAAACTATGGGCAGAAATATTTGGAAGATGTTTACTGATTGAAGGGCGGGACTATCAGGAGCGGCGGTTTCGCAATTGCTCGCACTGTCCTGGTTCCTAGTTTAATGGAAACGAAAGATCCGACGTGTGAGTATATGTCTTCTTGCGTTCCAGGTCATGCTTGTATGATTGAGCCGATCATTGATAGTGTTATTATCTAGGGGATCTGGTTGACCTATTCATGTGGGCAGTGTAAGTTGTCCCGGGCTAACGAATACTCCATCATCTTGAAAAAGAAAAAGCGATGCTGACTTGTCTCTGTCGTAGACTGGAAGCGACATTCGGTATTATTGCTGCTGCTGCTCCATCTGTCCGACCGCTCCTCGGCCATAACTCCGTGACGACGAACTATTATTCTCGTGACAAATCTCATTCTCTACCACTCCGGAACACGCGCA